GTAGAATTCCTTTCAGATCTAAATTTTATTCAAGTCCCCAAACAGAATACACAGATTGTACTAAATAAAAGTAGGATGGCTGGCAAACCTTCCAGCACTGAAAAGGATGATCGAAGTGAGCTTTAAATTCTGTTGGCAATGAATGGAAAGAGATAAAGGTGATGCAGCTTTCTGGCAATGATAAAAATCATCTGAAACCCCCTGTTAAGTAGCTAACCTTTTAAGGTTGGTTCTTTATCTTGTTTGCCATTGGATCCCCCACACCTAATACACAATATGATCAGAATGTTATATTTTGGGAACACTTTATAAAGGATTAAAGGTCTTCTTGATCCATTTACCTCATTAGAGTACATTAACCATGTCTCAAAACAGTTCTGAAATTCAAGAGGTGTTGGAGAAAGTAATAGAATCCTAGTTGGAAAGAAATACTAGAGGTAAAAATTTGGCAATAGATTATAAGCAGGTATTCCTTATTATCTTTCAACTCCATGGGTGATGTTTCTGGGTTAAAGACTTGATAAATAGGGTTTTAACTTTAGGTTTTAATGTCAAGGGGAAAAGGAGGCCAAATTAGGATTTAATGTAGTGGACTGTGGAAATGAAGGCAAGGAACAAAATGACACTGATGTTTTGTATATAGATTTTCATAGCATTTATTGTGTTCTGGGTCACCGAGTAATCTGAGAGGCAGATGAAAGCTATGGCTTCTCTTTCCAGAAAAATAATTACATACTCCTAATTTTGCATGTAATTTTTACTATGCCACATTGCTAATCTTTGAAGTAGAATTGTGAAGTACATTACTTAAAAATATTAAGTGGCATGTCTTCACAGGTGCATTTTTTAATCTTACATTTTTCCCACTAAAATTATCTCTGCTGTCATCCTTTAATATAGTCTGGACTTGAACTTCTTTCCCAGAGGATGAGCAGGTATTTTGGGGTACCTTAGTTGGCTGCCTATTCATCTGAACCTTAGAATTTTGCTATTTAGGTGACTCAAATGGTTTGTGCCCTACAACTGACCTAAAGGTTGATGGCTTGAACCCATCCTATACTATGGGAGAAAAGACCTGGTGATCTGCTGTTGTTAACATTACAACCAGGAGAACTCTATGAAGTAGTTCAACTCTGTAACACATGGGGCAGGTCTCCATGAGTCAGAATTGATGCAGTGGCAACAACAACCACATTAGAAGAATTTCAGAACAAGAGATGAAGGATTATTAGTTAAGTTTTATGTCTAAAACTAAGTTAAATTACAGGTATCCCTCTTTATTGACGCTTTGCAGATAATATGTTTTTTACAGATTGAAGGTTTGTGGTAACTCTGAGCCAAGGAAGTCTGTCAGCGCCATTTTTCCAACAGCAGGTACTCATTTCGTGTCCCTGTGTCACATTTTGGTAATTCTCACAATATTTCAAACTTTTATAATGCTATTGCATACTTGATAGACTATAGTGTAAACATAACTTTTATGTGCACTGGGAAACGATAAATTTTGTGTGACTTGCTTTATTGCGATATTAGCTTTATTGCAATATTTGCTTTATTACTGTGGTCCAGAGCTATAGCTGCAATATCTCCAAGGTATGCCTGTATTTTGAGTTTATTTGTTCATTGACTTGATAATTGAGTGAAAAATGTGATGTCAGATACTGATAGTGAATCAAGACACTATAGAATTCTTTAGTTTAATCTGTACTAGGTTTTCACAAACTTATATTACCTGAAGGCTCTTGTTAAAATTCAGACTCTGATCCAGCATCTCAATCTAGGGTTAGGTGACATTCTACATTTCTGAGACACCTAGGTAAGTGGTGATGCTGCTGCTGTTCCTAATCTACACTTTGAGTTGCAGGGACTTAAGTTACTTGCCTTATTGCTATGGTAAGAAAATAGGACTCTCAAGTTTTCTTGTGCTTGATTTTATTAAAATTTTCATGCTTTTCCAGATTGGCTACAAAAATTAAAGTTTTTCGAAAAACATAAGGTTTCTTTTCTTACAGTGTAGAACGTGGTTTTAAAACAGTCACACGCATCAGTCCTGCTTCCCGCCCCCCAAGAGTGATGATTTCCCTCTTTGCAGGGCTGTTCTAGGTGTTTCAAATTTGTTGTTGTTGTTATTAAGTGCCATCGAGTCGGCCCCGACTCATAGCGACCCCTCCTTGGGTTTCCACGGCAGTATCCCTACGGAAGTAGGATTGCCCAACCTTCCTTCCAAGGAGTGGCTGGTGGGTTTGAACCGCCAGCTTTCTGGTTAGCAGTCCAGTGCTTTAGCCACTATGCTACCAGAGCTCCTGTTTCAAATTTAGCACTATTTTATTTACCTAACATTTTCAGGCTTATCTATAACATTTAGTTTTCCAAATTTCTGAAGTCTTAAATTTCAGAAAAAGGATTTTCTAAAACTATTCCATGCACTTTTTTTCTTTAAACTTACTGGTGTAAGAGCCATATTTTTTGGAAGCTGTCTTGGTGAGGGGTGTTGGGTTGTATACAAAATGAATAAAAACCATAATCTTCTAAGTTTTGTGTCTTCTTTTATGCTTTTTCAATTTTGTTCCTGTTCAGCTGCCAGTTATTAGTATGCTGCCTCTACGTGACTCTCTTCCCTTTCCATGCTACTTCATTGCTTAGGAGGTCTGGCAGTGCAGTGGTTAAGGCTGCTAACCAAAAAGTCTGTGGTTCAAACTTGCCATCCATTCTGTGGGAGAAAGATGATGAGGCAGTCTCCTGTAAAGATTTGCAGCCTTGATAACTAGGTTTTATAAAAATATAAATGGGATTACTGTCAGCCAGCAGGACCTGCCTATTGTAGGGGCTTCTTAGGGGGAAGCAGTCAGAAAGTTTAGTAGCATTTGAGCAGGAGAGAACTCCTTGGCTTAAACCATATTCTGAATAGTTGGGGAGTCCATTTGTTTCTTTTCCATGTATTTCTCAAAAACTAGTTTTGGATCTCTTTCTCCAGCACTGTGTTTTAGTGTGTTTGAAGATGATTTGGAATGTAGGTATATATGTGTGTGGTAGCCATGCAAGTAGGAATAAAATAATTGTAATAAATAGGCAGCAGTTCAGGGTCTATCTACAGTGGGAATGGGCATCCTGTGCCAAAGATGGTTCTCTTACAGTATGCGTCGCAGTTGCTTTGCAAACAGTTTTAAGAAAAATAGTAATGACAGGAAAGGGGGTAGGCCTTGATTCAACTTTAGTGACTTAAGATCCTAGGGATGCAAAGTCTGATTTCTGGCATGTTATCTTTAGTAGATTATTAGTTATAATACTCAACAATAGTAGCTCCGTTTGTTGAGCCCTCACTTCTGTCAGGCATTCATTATTCAGATGTATGTTTTGCAACAAACAGGGCTGTGGTCATGATGGGTGAATGAGATTGGAGGGGAGCAAATGGCTGCTGCGCATTGAACAAATGAGAGTAATCCAAATAGAGAAGAGGGAGATTAAACCTCCTCATTAGCTCCTCTTTCCAAATAAATAAGCATGGGCCGAATCTACCGCAAATGTTTGTGCTTTTTCTTACTTACCAAGGCTAGAAATCAATTGTTGGAGAATTCACATCTATGAGAAGCACAAAGTAAGTGCTTTATATTCTTCTGATTGAAAACAGAGAGGGCTTGTTTGCATTTCAGCCAGGCAGCATCAGAACGTGTATCACTTTGAGTAGGCTTATTACTGGTTTTGTGTTATGAATTGTGCATCATAGTCTTTAAATTTAGGACAAAGCTAAGTGCAGCCATACGTTTAAGGTGGATTTTGAGTACCTGAACAGGCTGCATCTGGCCTGTTTTATATATTTTTAGTGAGTTAAACCTTTTAACACTGATTACCAGTTTTGTCTCATTTCAATCTTATTTGTAACTCTAGAATTTGTTTTCTGTTTCAGCACAGCTCAGCATACTGTTAGAAATGCTAGTCTAATTAACAGTATTTTGTGATCTGGGATTGCTGTCAAAGATCATTATAGGAGCTAGAAAACATTGGGAGGTAAACTGAATGCATGACCTCATCTCCCTTATTTTGCACTAGAATAGAACATAAATTCAAAGAAACTGGGAAGGGGGGTGGAAAGTACATCCCTCCTTTTAATCTGTAATAAATGTGTTTAGTATGTTTTTGCTATTCATAATCTCTTTTAGCTTTTAGACGTCAGTATTCTGTTGAAACATTCAAAACTAATGCTGCTGAGAAAAAGCTTTTGCTAGAGATATAGAGCAGCTATTAGTCCATACCCTTTGTTAATTGATCCTGCTTGTTTCATGGGGGAAATAAAAATGTTATGTTTACCTGAAGAGAAATCTGTGGGCATAAACTCTCCTCTTCCTGATCTCATATATGTTTCATGTGTTGTTTATCTTACTTAAATATACACTAGGCAAAGTGCAACTGCTGTTCCTTTAATATTATAACTATGCACGTTACAATAGGTGTCACTGTTTTGCTTGGTCCAATCATGATCGGTGACTTCAGCTATTGGCTCCAAGCACTGGCTGGCTGACTCCATCTGCAGGGCTGTAACACCTACTCTCCTCCGATCCATTCACCACACAACTTCAGCTGGCTGAGCAGACACGCGCGGCTCCAGCAACATCTTGCTAACCTAATTCAGAAAACAAGTGCTGCGGCTCTGTGCCTGTCATCTTCTCTCAGTGTAGCATTTCCAGGTGATCTAGGAAACTGGGTGATTTTTATGAACAAGTAAGAGAAACAGGAATCATGATGGGGATGTATTTAACAGACCAAGTACTGGATAAAACTTAAAGCCAGTTTCTAGTCAACATAGTGAAAAGGTCACCTTGCCTGGCTGAGAAAAGAAGCAAAATACCAGCTTGTTGGTTTCTGTTAACAGCTCGTGCTAGCCTCGTTTCCTTGATGTTCGTACCAATTTGGGATATCTAGCTATAGAGAGAGACATACTGTACTCATGGTAGATGACAAGGAAAAGAACATGAAATGTCTCACCTTCTTCTTGATGCTTCCAGAGACCGTAAAGAACAGGTCCAAGAAAAGCTCCAAGAAAGCAAATACCACGACCACCAGCAGCAGCAGCAGTAAGTTGCCCCCGGTTTGCTATGAAATTATTACCTTGAAGACTAAAAAGAAGAAGAAGATGGCTGCTGATATATTCCCCCGTAAAAAACCAGCTAACTCCAGCACCACCACTGTCCAGCAGTACCACCAGCAGAATCTCAGCAACAACAACCTTATTCCAGCCCCGAATTGGCAGGGTCTTTATCCCACCATTAGAGAAAGGTAAGTGCCGGGTCAGCGTATTTACTTTAAAAGTTTTCCTGTGTTGAAGTTTCTGCTTTTGCCCAACCTGTAATGTATTTTAACAAAAATCTGGGTTTCCTCTTTTCCCAGAAGCTTTTATTGGTAATGGAAAACTGCCTTGTATCATTTCCAAAACAGTACAGCTGTTTTCCTCTTAGATAAAAATGTTTTTGCAAGCTGTAACATTTAACTGACAGGGTTGTGTCTATGGGCCATAGAAGATGAAAATCTTTTATTTATCCTTAGCTTTGTGAAAAGTTTAGACAACTTTTTTTTTTTTTTTTAACTTTAGTTACTTCCCATATGTTTGCAATGATTACAAACACTGTTGTTTAGTTAAAACCTTTACTTGTTTGTTTGCCCTGAAGTCATTAAATTGTTGCTTAGCTTTCAGATCTTCTGTGGGTTTTGTATGTGGGAGAGGGGGCATTAAAAATGCTAAATGCTGTAAATTAATAAGTTGCTTCTGTTTATAGAAATGCGGTGATGTTCAATAATGATTTGATGGCAGATGTACATTTTGTGGTTGGGCCACCAGGTGGGACTCAGCGGTTGCCAGGACACAAAGTAAGCAACAGCTGCATTACTGGTTTAGACCTGAGACTTACAAAGAGGGACCTTCTTTGTGGGCCTGGAACTTGGGGTGGGCAGCTTGCTGATGGCAGGCAGTGCATGTCTCGCCCAGTCACATAGAAAGCCCAGACTCTTCAGAGGGTTTTGGCCACGCTAAATTTTTTCTTTGTCTCCTTCTGTTCTGCTTTTATCCCGCACAAAACATGCCCTCTTCACTCTGCAGTCATGGGATAAGATCTCTGAAGTTGTTGTGACAGGTTAGGAAAGTCATCTATTTACCCTTCTCTAGACATCAGTCAAATAAGCTTTGTATTTTTTTTTTTTTTTCATTTATTTTTTAATGAGGGAAATTGTGCATTAATCCTTTAAAGCCTTGAGAGAATTAGCAGCGTAGAAACTGGTTTGTGTGAATATCTTAGGCTTTCACAGCACGATATGTCGCACCTTGGCTTTTTCAAAGAAGAGGTTTAGGTGCTCTGTTCTTAGAGTTGTTTTTCTAGATTGATTTGCTGAAAATACATTCAATTTAGTGCATGAAATAAGATTTCCCTTTCTCCACAGTATGTTTTAGCTGTTGGGAGCTCTGTGTTCCATGCAATGTTTTACGGAGAACTTGCTGAGGACAAAGATGAAATCCGTATACCAGATGTCGAACCTGCTGCTTTTCTCGCTATGCTGAAGTAAGCATCGTTCATATGTTGGGAGTTTGTTTATGCTGTATTTGTGCTCTGCGGGGCTCACGGTTAAATAGGAGTTCTGGGAAACAGAAATGGAAACAATGATGAAGAGAGAGGGTGCTGCTTACCTTGTAAATATTTTTGGAGAAAACTACTGTGCATCCTTCAGCAGAAGCATATGGAATGATGCAGGCTTTTATAATCACGCCTTGACTTAAGATTTCAGGACAAGTGGCATGAATAGTGATTTGACTTTTAATGACTTATTAAAGAAAAATTGCTGTGATTTAAACATTGTTTAATAGACTATGTTCTCTCAGAAAGCTTTGTGAAAAAGTCTTTATATAAATGATATTTTTGCTTCAAAACACTATAAATTACATGCTTTGTTTAAATAGTACCAGTTAGGATATTTCTCAGTTCTATAAAGGTTGCTGTCAACAAATGGAAAACTTATCTTTTGAAATTATCTGATCTTTGTGCACATATATGCATACGTTTTTAAATATGAATATTCTTAAATAAATCAGATATCTTTTTTCAAGGATAAGAAACATTTACATTTGACATTAGAAATTTTTGAAAGATACAGTTTTCTCTAGTCTATATGGATATAGATAGAAAACCTTTAATTTTAAATCAGATCTAAAGCTGTAAGATACATTATGCATTTATGAAAAATAATTTTACATCTAGTTAGACTTTTTCAGAATCTAATAAATGTTAAACTCGGTAAATAGAGTGGCCTGTTTTATCAAGTACTGGTGTTGTACAGTGTGACAGTCTACAATGTGATTTTAGTCCAATGATTATTCTAAATAATACTAAACAATTTTTCTTAATCCTTATTCTACTGCACAAAGTTATATCAGAGTTCAAGGTTATGTGCTGCTGTAGGGATTGCAGTTCATTGGATAAATACAATGCTTATTGAACAAACTGGGCAGTAATCCTATAAAGAGTTAAAATGTTGATAAGTGTTGTCTGCTGTCTACTGCAAAAAAGGTATCATAATTCGTTTTCAGATGTAAACATACTTAATTTTTTACTTATATTGTAGTTCTGAAATCTAATTGTTACTGACTACAACTTTTACAGTGGAGCTCTGGTGGTAACAGTGATTACGTGCTTGGCTGCTAATCAGAAAAGGTCAGCGATTCGAACTCACCAGTGGGCTACAGGGAAATTAAAGAGAAGTGAGCATATAACATCAAAATACAAACTAAGACACCTTTTCATACCAACCAACACTTCGTGATCTTTACAGTCCTTTAGAAATACACGTGGAGAAAACAAGTTCACCTGCAAAGGTTTTTGTTTGTTTTGTTTTTGCCAGTGAAGTCACAGCTTTGTGTATTTGACAGTGTTCCTTGGCTGCTCAGGAGAATACTAGCCCTTATGTAGCTTTGTGACTTCACTGCAGGCAAGTAAATTGTTGCATTATTCCAGAAATACAAATAATTAAGAAATGGGAGCAAGAATCTTAAAGAATTATATTTTGCCTAAGCCATTGGATTCCTTGTTTAATAAGTATCTTATCTCACAGAGAGATGTCTTGTCTAGAGTGTATTGTTGTTATAGCTTTTTAGAAATTATGCGTTCGGTACATGTAAAGTAGTAAAAATCAGGAATGTGGAAATATGCCATTTACCATTATGCTATAGTTGGTTAGGTCAGTACCATACTGTCATCCGAGCTGGTGGTGGCCAGATTTTCCTCATTCTAGAATTATGGGGGATAGTCAGTATTCCTAGAAAGGGGGCTGTTGAGTAAAAGGAAGGGCTGCTCACTTAATAGTTACAGGGTAAGAGGGACAATGTGCTGACCATGCTCCAGTCCTCCCCATGCTCCCCAGTGCTCCTGGCAGAGCCATCACTAAGCTGCAGGAGTGGTGTCTGGTGGCCCTGCCAATGGTAGCTGGCTCAGCCTATCTGAGCAGAGAAAGGGCTTCCTAGCAGCAAATGTGCAGCTTCTGATTGTGACTGTGGAGAATTTTCTCATTGCTATCCTTGTAGTTTTATCCTTTCTTACAGAAGGCAGTCCTGATTTCTTAAGTTTTATGTGTTCCACTAAAGTGAAATACTAGAGAAAAACTTCAGAGGAAGTAGCTTTACTTAGCTAGAAAAAATTTTAAAATAAAGTGTTATCAGTATGTATTTTTTACTCACAGGTAGTTCTCACTGTCTGTCTCTTATGCCAGCTATAGCAGTCTAAAAGAAGCAACTGATTTCTACCTTTATATAACATTTTAGGGATCAGCCACCATCCCCCAAATACAGAGAAGTATTTCTTCTCCATAAGTGGGATTAGTTTACAGTAGTATAGAAATAAGTACATGTTTACGGTTTCATCTATTGATTAAATATATCTGGAAATGACGTATTCTTGAATTCTGAAAGTGGAAGGAGTGTGTGAGGGAGAGGGATGAGTTTGAAATTTAAAAAAAAAAAAAAAGCACCAGATACAAAGCTTGTGTTGAATTCTCTCTAATGTTATCAGAAGATAGCATTGGGATCCATATTTGATAATCCATTGAACTTAGAACTACTTGAAAAATGCCTATTTAATCTTGTTTTATGTTTAGGAAAAATCCAAATCAACACTTGATTAAAGCACCCAGGCATTTGTTTCTATCTGAATGCGCAGAAAGATTTTAAAATAAACTATGAGTGTTGCTACTAAGACATAAGGGACTGTACTTTGATGAAATATAACATACACAAAACCACTGCCGTTGAGTCAGTTCTGCCTCAGAATGACTCTTTAGGACAGAATAGAACTGCCCCATAGAGTTTCCAAGGCTGTAAATCTTTTTGGAAGCAGATTGCCTCATCTTCCTCCCACAGAGCAGCTGATAGGTTTGAACCACCAACCTTTTGGTTAGCAATCAAAATATAATAAAGGTAACAGAATTTTGCAGCTTTTTTCCCTAATACTGTCTGTGCTATGTGATTCTTTGTCAATCCTGATATCATCTGTTCTCGTTGAGAACATACTGAATGCAGCTTATAAAATATAGGCAAGAATAGCAACAAAAACCTAATGTCTTTAATCACATAAACGTACTACTGAGTTCAAATATTAATAATTTATGAATATATTTCAGATGTTCCTTAAGCATTTTCAAGGATAATTTTCTTGGAGTTAACGTGAAAGTAATTTCATCTTTTCACGCTGGATGCTCTCATTTTATGAGAGTTCTGCTTACATGCTGTGCACTTCCTTTCAGGTACATCTATTGTGATGAAATTGACTTGGCTGCTGACACAGTGCTGGCCACTCTTTATGCTGCCAAAAAGTACATTGTCCCTCACCTTGCCAGAGCCTGTGTTAATTTCCTGGAAACCAGCCTGAGTGCCAAGAACGCCTGTGTGCTTCTCTCCCAGAGTTGCCTGTTTGAGGAGCCAGACCTGACCCAGCGTTGTTGGGAGGTGATCGACGCCCAGGCCGAGTTAGCTCTCAAGTCTGAGGGATTCTGCGATATTGACTTCCAGACCCTAGAAAGTATCCTTCGCAGGGAAACTCTGAATGCCAAAGAAATTGTGGTTTTCGAGGCAGCTCTCAACTGGGCTGAAGTAGAATGCCAGCGACAAGATCTAGCCTTGAGCATCGAAAATAAACGCAAAGTCCTTGGGAAGGCACTTTACTTGATCCGAATACCCACAATGGCCCTTGATGATTTTGCAAATGGTGCTGCACAGTCCGGAGTTTTAACTCTCAATGAGACCAATGACATTTTTCTCTGGTACACTGCAGCCAAAAAACCAGAGTTGCAGTTTGTGAGTAAAGCCCGCAAGGGCCTTGTCCCCCAGCGCTGTCACCGCTTCCAGTCTTGTGCCTATCGGAGCAACCAGTGGCGTTATCGAGGCCGCTGTGACAGTATCCAGTTTGCAGTGGATAAAAGGGTGTTCATCGCTGGCTTTGGCCTGTATGGTTCCAGCTGTGGCTCTGCAGAATATAGTGCCAAGATTGAACTCAAGCGGCAGGGTGTTGTCCTGGGGCAGAACTTGAGCAAGTATTTCTCAGATGGCTCTAGCAATACGTTCCCCGTGTGGTTTGAATACCCAGTGCAGATTGAACCAGACACCTTCTACACAGCCAGCGTGATCCTCGATGGCAATGAACTCAGTTACTTTGGACAGGAAGGCATGACGGAGGTTCAGTGTGGCAAAGTGACCGTGCAGTTCCAGTGCTCCTCAGATAGCACCAATGGCACTGGGGTCCAGGGAGGGCAGATCCCCGAACTTATATTCTATGCTTGAAAACTCATTTCCCTAAGCAGTGTGAGCTGTTGTGAAGTGCACATCTGGTTCCTACTTGCTTGATGCTTAGCTCATCTGCAGATATATGATCAGCGCAGGTGATTGGTAATGAATGAAGCTATATGCAGTTTCTCATTTCTTTTAATCGTGTACAGGCAAAAATGCAGCATTCAGCTTTTAACTATATGCTTAAAAGAACCAAGCTCTTATTTTTAGAATACATCTGTATATCTAGAGAGGTTCTGTGCTCTTTCAGCTGCCCTATTGGTCTTAGTTTTGTTCCTTTTACGAAATATTTGGAATCACCTCAAATTTCCTTTTGGGCTTTATAAAATAGCCCAAAATAATAATGACAAGAGTTAATTAAACAGAACTCCCCCACCACCCTAAAAAGGGTAAGCTTCAGCATACAATTTTGAAAGATGTTTTGCTTCATAATAATTTAGAAAGTAGACAGTATCATGTTTGGCTTGTATTTCATTCCTTTTAAATTCTTTGCTTCTGGGCTTTGCTTTCTTTTTAAATCCTAAATGTATAATGTTACATATTAAACACTACAAAGCATCAGTGTAAAATAGAGAAAGGAAATTAAGAAGTTAAGTGTTTTTGTAAGCTATGATTTCTGCTGCAAGCAGATTTATATTCTTAGTTTAGAAGCCAAAATAGAGTCCAGACACCTTTTTTCAAAGCAACTAAATTATATGATTTTCCTATCAGTAGAAAAAAATTGCAGGCCTATTAATTTAAACTAAAACAATTCAGAAAAGTAGCCTAAAAAGTCCCATACTACAAATATTTTCATTGATGGCACATGAAAATACACAGTTTGAAAAAGCCAAACTGTTTTCTCCCCATGTAGTTTCTGATCGCCACTGTTTGCTTATTTTGCTTGGAATATCTTTTCCCCCATTAAAAGAGGACCAAACAATTCTTTAGGCAAATAGAGTAGCAATTAGTTTTGTAACACTATATGTTTATGTAGTGAGACACTTTTATTCATTGATTTTTTTTTTTTTTTTTGGTTTTCCAGTCTGAAATATGCTTTACCTGATCTACTTTGACTACAGACTGTCTTTTTAGTTAATTATGGTTTTGTCCTGTTCCTGGACTGCTAGAATCTGGCCTCTGGCCATCTTAAAGTGCCAATATATGCCTGCAGGGTTTTTAAAAAATATTCTGTAGTGACACTAGTTTATACCTAGTATTCATTGTATCAGCATCACATCCCACTCTCTTATCTGTCCCTGGGTAATATAAACAAAAGAAAGAAATGCTCATCAAAAAAAATTCTCTTTCAGTGATGGCTTGTCATAATTCTGTGCCTGTGTCCCTGGCAGTGTCCAAATGTGTTCACTTCCAGTTAAGTATCCATGTGTTTCTGGGCAGCTTTTCTGCTCAGTATGATCCTGAGAGCGCTTCTCCCACCACCCAGAGTGTGGTCCCTGGCCGCCTCCTTCTCCTGCCCTACGAGCCTGAATCTGGCTTGTCTGGAGCCAGGGGTTAGTCCCAGGGTGTGTGTGGGGGGGTGTGTGTGTGCGTGCACGTGCACCCATGTGCACACAAGTGCGTTTGCGGACTCAGGAATTGTCTCCTCCCGCCTGGCTAGTGAGAGTTGGGACAGAAATGGTCCCCTGCTGGCCCCAGCAAGTGGCTGCCTTTCCCTTGTTCACTGTGCTTCTGGGCCACTTCCCCTGTATACATGAACCTTCAGCCAGCTTCCCTGATGGAGGAAAACACTGGATTATGGGCAATTCTCTAATCACCCTTGCCATTACCTACTTCTGTTAGCATAGATGATCAGAAGCTGTTATTGGTCATTGTAGATGAGTACTCCCAGGACAACTTTCCAAAATGATCAATTATTTCCTATTAAGAAGGTTGCAGATGGTAGTTTTGGCAAAGCATCGATAAACTAAAGGTAGATATTCATTTTCAAAAACTACTTCTCCAGAAGATTTTGTTTTAAAATTATGGTTAAACATTTCAGTGACTTACAGCTACCATGTCGATGAGTAGACTATATATCTGATTAGAAGGCACTCATTTTTAAGCCAGAGGAGAGGATACTTTATTTAGCACTAATTTCATCCTGTCAAATTCTGGAGGTGGGCGTGATGCCTTCGGGTGCACATTGTTCATCCCATAATCCTCCAGTCAGTGCTCCTGTGAGCTAGCTGCCCTCCAGGTGGTGAGGGAACTGCTTGGTGAAAGCCAGAAAGAGATCCTATGCTTTGGGGTGGGCCAAGAAGAACTTAATGTTATGCTAATTACCATTGCAAAAAAAAGGGACACCAACAGTATCTGACTGGCTGGTGCCAAAAGCTGTGGGTTGAATTCGAAAATTGTATTGAAATAAGAATTTTTGTATTTTAAACCCTGTTCTCGCTTCTGCATTTTTGACAAAATGGAATGAAGGCTGATGTGCTTGCTTTCTTTTTGTTGGTAATCTCTGATTTTGTAGCTTTTAAAACTAGAAACTATTGTTCTGACAAGGCAGGCAATTCTAGTATATAAACACAACTTTATTAAACAGAATATGCGGTAGATTCTTTTCTCAGTGTATCTGGCAGTCTTTGTCATTGTTAATACTGGAGATAAAGGGGAACTAGGTTAGCAGTTCTAATGTAACATTCTTTCAGCTTATCTTATAATAGTATTTAAGTAAATGGTCTAATTTCTACATAATTATTGCACTGAACTGTATTTTTGTTTGTTTGTTTAAGGTGTTTAAATAAGCTCAGCTAATATCAGGACACTGTAGCCACTTGTGCATCAGGGTGCTTGAATTTCGTTGCTTACAATATTATTTATGAAGGAAAAAATATAAATATGAAGTACCTCATGTTGAATGTTATTGTACTGTATTTTTAATGTAACAGTGCAGATCTTGTTAGACACATGAATGTGTATAATCATGTTAAATGCAAATAAAAATAAAACTGCTTCGTAGATTTGTTTTTCTTAGCATTTTTGTGGCTCCCTTGAAATAGTAAAAAAAAATTAATTCTGGCACTTTTGGTGCTACTACATTTTACATAAATGGTTTCACAGGAGCATTTGTTTGCTAAGTATTCAGATGTCTTTGATCCCTAAAGAAGTAAAAATTTGAGGCAAAAGCATGAGAGAATAATGAATATGTTAATCAATTGCATTGTTCAAAACCTGAGTATTAAGGTAATGAGAGGGAGTGAATAGATGCATTTATATACCTGTTATGGAATTCCTAGTTGTCTGGCATTCTGATGCTGTACAGCTCAAAGTCTGTGGACCTTGCCGTGCTATAGGGGTGTTGATAGCTTCAGTGCAACAGTCAGGGCTGCTTGCTTTCCTGGCTTGGCTAGAACAGCTTAAGTCCAGGAATAAAAATTAAAATGCTATGTGAGAATTTTGAATATAATTTTTATGTGTTAAACTAGTTTCTGATTTCCCCACATCAAGTTTGTATGTCTCCTAAGTACGTACACGTTTTTGTTTTTTTTTTTCTCTGCAGCTTTCTGTTGCTTTTCTACTAGAGATTGTTATGAAACCTCTGTACAGGCAGTTCACCTGGATTATGAATAAATTCCATTCCTAAATCTGTCTTTAAGTTGAATTTGTGTGTAAGTCAGAACAGTTAAGGTACAGCTTATATCTAACATCAGTTGGTCAAATATTAGTCTTAGTATATAGTATACCTTTTCATGCATAAAAATGATTAAACACTTTCAGGTACATGGAAACATCTTTAACATAATAATACAGTAATAATAAAAATAATATTTTGATGTGCATTGTAAAGCAGTACCTGTTTGCCACAGTAAACCCTTGTATGTACCTTGAATTTTCAGTATAATAGGCTTTGGGAGTGTTTGGGGTTGTATATAAGTCAGAGTTTGGTAACCCAGGAACTTCTTGTGTATTTGTATCTACTGAAGGTTCAATTTCTACAGCATACCTGCTCCAAAGATTTTTGGAGTATTGCCAAAGAATAAGGGAAATGGAACCACTCGTTCTCATTAGCTTAATCACAGACAAAACAGAAATTGCAAAGATCTTTAATCCAGGGAACTCTTAACCATTATCTCTTCTCTGTTGCTATTAAAACTTAATTCATATATGTTTGTTTTCAGTATCTCAAGATAATTGCGAATGATTCACCTCCATTGTTGGGACTCATGGATGAACATGTCACTGAAATTACACTTTATTACCAGTTCACTGCATGGCTTGCCTATGAAAGCCAAAGGCTTAGACTTGGGAGAAGAGAGTAAGGTGGCATACGTTCCTGAGGAATTAAATGGTATAAAAGTTAGCAGTGGAAATTAGCAGGTGACCCTGGAAACCTGAGATTATTTTAAGTGTTTATCAGAGCAGGGTTTGAGTACCTTTCAGCTTTCGAGTACCTTTCAGCTTTCGAGTTTCTAATTACTTTGAGCATTTTTTCAAAGCATTTACATTAATTGACCAACGACTGTCTTTGTCCAACATTTTATGTTATCTTCTAATTTTCAGAATATATGTTCTAGTTAAACTAATACTCAGAAGAGTTTTCAAAAATAGAATTTCCCAATTTCTACAAGGAACACACATACTGACTTCTCAACTAAGAAGTTCCCAAGCAGTTGAGGTGAGTATATTTGTGAGGAAGAGATGAAGAAGCCACTTAACCCTGTCACACTCCAAGCAATGTAAGACACCTACTTCTGTAGATGAACCTGAAGAATGTTTAAGTACATTTTCCTGCTTGTTCATTTCTCTGTTGCCTCTTCTGAATATTTTTTGAGGGTGGGGGGAGAGGTATAATTCCTATTTATTCAGACCCTACCTGTTTCTATAATTGTTTTCCATTTACTTGGTTATTTAAATGTCCAGTGGACAGTAATTTTACTGTTGTTGTTATGTGCCATGGAGTCAGTCCCAACTCATAGTGACCCCTCCTGGGGTTGCTGAGGCAGTATCACTACGGAAGTAGATTGCCCAGCCTTCCTTCCGAGGAGTGGCTAGTGGGTTTGAACCGCCAGCCTTCTGGTTAGCAGTCAAGTGCCTTAGACACTACGCTACCAGAGCTCCTTTACTAGCAGATTTTAAATACATTCTATGATCTGCTTCTAAAAGTCCCTAACCTCAGGATATCCATTAAAACAAAATAACCCACTCTTTGTCAAATATGTGCTTTAAATAAATCTCTGTATCAGACATAATTAAAATGAAGTTACCCATTAGACTACTTGCACTTAAACATTGGTTTACTCTTGGTTACTGTTTTCCAT